CTTCGAAGCAATGTTTACAAGGTCTTATCGAGCGTATTGTGTGAAAGACTGAAGCCCACCGTCAATGAACTGATTGTGCCTTGTCAGTGTGGCTTTAGGCCTGGAAAATCCACCATATCTTCCAAATCTTGGAAAAGACCCGCGAGAAAAGAATCGACACTCACCACATATTTGTCGACTTTAAAGCCGCTTTCGACAGCACTAAAAAGAGTTGCCTATAAGCCGCTATGTCTGAATTTGGCATCCCCGCCAAACTGATACGGCTGTGTAAAATGACGTTGAACTATACCACCAGCTCCGTCAGAATTGGGAAAGACCTCTCCGAGCCATTCGCCATCAAACGGAGCTTCAGACAGGGCGACCTTCTTTCATGTGATTTCTTTTATCTGATGTTGGAGAACATAATAAGAGCTTGCGAACCGAAGCACAGTTGCTGGCTTATGCCGATGACATCGATATCATCGGTAACAAAAACCGCGAAGTCTGTTCTGCCTTTTCCAAGTTGGATAAGGAAGCAAGGCGAATAGATCTGGTGGAAAATGAGGACAAGACGAAGTATCTCCTGTCAACAAACAAACTGTCAGCACATTCGCGTTGGCACCCACGTCACTGTTGACAGTTATAATTTCGAGAACGTGAAGAATTTCGTTTACTTGGGAACCAGCATTAACACCGATAGTAATGTCAGCATGGAAGTCCAACGCAGAATCACTCTTGCCAACAAGTGCTACTTTGGACTGAGTAGGCAATTCCGGAGTAAAGTCTTCTCTCGACGTACTAAAACCACACTCTATAAGTCACTCATTATGCCCGTGCTGGTATATGGTGCAGAAGCATGGACAATGACAACATGCGATGAGGCGGCTCTTGGAGTATTCTAGAGAAAGATTTTGCGAAGGATTTACGGGCTTTTACGCGTTGGCGACGGCGAGTATCGCAGACGATGGAACAATGAGCTGTATAAGCTTAACAACGACATGACATAGTGCAGCGAATTAAAATACAGCGGCTTCGCTGGCTTGGTCATGTCGTTCGAATGGACATCGACACTCCAGCTCTGAAAGTATTCAACTCGCAACCCGCTGGNGTCAGTGTGGCTTTAGGCCTGGAAAATCCACCATATCTTCCAAATCTTGGAAAAGACCCGCGAGAAAAGAATCGACACTCACCACATATTTGTCGACTTTAAAGCCGCTTTCGACAGCACTAAAAAGAGTTGCCTATAAGCCGCTATGTCTGAATTTGGCATCCCCGCCAAACTGATACGGCTGTGTAAAATGACGTTGAACTATACCACCAGCTCCGTCAGAATTGGGAAAGACCTCTCCGAGCCATTCGCCATCAAACGGAGCTTCAGACAGGGCGACCTTCTTTCATGTGATTTCTTTTATCTGATGTTGGAGAACATAATAAGAGCTTGCGAACCGAAGCACAGTTGCTGGCTTATGCCGATGACATCGATATCATCGGTAACAAAAACCGCGAAGTCTGTTCTGCCTTTTCCAAGTTGGATAAGGAAGCAAGGCGAATAGATCTGGTGGAAAATGAGGACAAGACGAAGTATCTCCTGTCAACAAACAAACTGTCAGCACATTCGCGTTGGCACCCACGTCACTGTTGACAGTTATAATTTCGAGAACGTGAAGAATTTCGTTTACTTGGGAACCAGCATTAACACCGATAGTAATGTCAGCATGGAAGTCCAACGCAGAATCACTCTTGCCAACAAGTGCTACTTTGGACTGAGTAGGCAATTCCGGAGTAAAGTCTTCTCTCGACGTACTAAAACCACACTCTATAAGTCACTCATTATGCCCGTGCTGGTATATGGTGCAGAAGCATGGACAATGACAACATGCGATGAGGCGGCTCTTGGAGTATTCTAGAGAAAGATTTTGCGAAGGATTTACGGGCTTTTACGCGTTGGCGACGGCGAGTATCGCAGACGATGGAACAATGAGCTGTATAAGCTTAACAACGACATGACATAGTGCAGCGAATTAAAATACAGCGGCTTCGCTGGCTTGGTCATGTCGTTCGAATGGACATCGACACTCCAGCTCTGAAAGTATTCAACTCGCAACCCGCTGGTGGTAGCAGAGAAAGAGGAAAGCCCCCACTGAGATGGAACGACCAGGTGGATAAGAACTTGGATTCACTTGGCATTTCCAATTGGCGCCAGTTGGCACAGAAAATAAACGACTGGCGTGTGTTGTTGAACTCGGCTAAAATCGCTTAGGCGGTTACAGCGCCAAACAAGAAGAAGAAGAAACCAATTTCACACGATTTTGAAGGAAACTTGAAAAGTTAGTCACATGCGATAGAGAACATTCCAAGTAACATTTCCCAGTCCCCCTCACTTTTCTTACTTGCGCAACGAACGCTTACCGTTGATTGCAAACAGAATATTCTAACGCTGCTTATAAATAACTTTTCTCTCTCTAGAAAGATCGTGACGGTTTTAAGTTAATAATTTGATTTCTGCATTGTATTCTTAAAAAGTAGTGATGAATCCGCATACAGAAGGTAATAATGCATTTAAGTCTTAAATTTTTTTTTTATCATTTTATCAAGCAAAAGTTAAATTTAAATGTAACGAAAATATTAAGGAATTTGTCGTATCCCCGGGAGAGAACGGGTTGTTATTCTTCGTTCAATTGAAACCTTAGATATTTGGCTAATATAGTTTGAATAGATTGCCCGCAGAAAATGGCAGATAAGTGGTATTTTTTTACTTAATAAAGAAAAATCTAAAAACGGAACTAGTATATAGTAACAGTACTTAAGATCAATTTTAACACTAAAATTAAACTTTTTAGGTGAATTTGAAGCCGCTCAACTAGAACATGAATCCATTTAATTAAAAAAAAAATAGTTTTCGAGATACTTATACGCAAAAGTCATGTTTTCTAGGACCTTTCGGTCCTGTTGCAAGAAATCTGCGGGAACGTAAGGCGAACCAAACTATGTTATGTATTTCGGATTAAACATTTATTTCCTTTACATTGGTATTATATAAGTGATGATTGAAGATATAGCTTTGGGTATACAAGTGTTTAAAATTAAGTAAATGTGAATTTAGATAAATCTAAGATATTTCAGTAAACATTGTATTCAAATTGTTGAAAATTAGTATGTGAAGTAAGATTTTGGAACAAAATAGGATTATTATGAAATTTTTGGAAAATGGCAGTGGCCCCGCCCACTTATGACAACAAAAGTACGTCTCGGTAACTGATTTATCACTTTGTGCTTTACTCGGTGTACTTAATATTCTTGGTATGGAAAAGCAATACGTTGAAAATACGAAAACTCCGATATTTCAGTAATTGAGGACGCTAATTTACTCCAAGTTAATACTTACAACATTCTGTTATATTACTGTTATTAGTACAAAAATCTAGCTTAATTAAATTTTCTTGCCTATACTGTGATACATATTTGAATTATCTAATTCCCTATATTAAAGTTGAATTTGATTTTTTAAACCTGAGAGGTTGCTTAAAGGTAAAGCCTTTTCAAACTCATTTCCATTGATACCCACATCTCAGCAATTCATTTAACTAATTGAACAAATTTTTTTAACAGGGGGCGGCGTTAATGTTTTAACCTAGATATAAACCTTTTCCTCGCCGAGACGAACACGTAAATATGCGTGTTCCTACAATCGGACCACGGCAAATGGAGTCTATCGATGTCAAACGTTAAGCAACTTTATTTTCTTTGTCTTGATGGAATAATTGGACGTCCTCCTTTTCTATTTACTTGATTCTAAACATTTACAGTGCTATATGTTAAAACACGTCTTTTCTAAACATTTCGAGTTGAAATATTCATAAAAATTATTTTGGCCGCATAATCGGCAAAATGTGTGACGTTTCATGAATCCCACTAATATACCTAAGAAGCAACATTTTTCAATAGAAAAAAGCCATTAGTTTGTAATTGATCTAATGTTTATATTTATGTAAGTAATACTAACATGACTTCTGATGTAGAGCTTTAATTAATCAGGTATAACGACAGTCTCCTTTGTTAACTAAAAATAATTTAATGAATTTATTAGTCTTTCAACTATATTCAAATATCACAAGTTAATTTTAGCTGAAAAATGTTAGCCGTTTTTTTGCCAATTTAGCCGGTCGGCCCAAATAGTTCTGGCAACACTGGTGACAAAACACACATCCCTGCAGTGAAAAATTATCAATTGTTAAAACTAACCAACTTATAGTTAGCTTTTTGGCGAGATTTCGATTAATACCTCACTTTTAATTAGCTATGACAAAACCAACTTAAAGTGAATTGTAAAGTCGTGCAGGAGTCATGCAGACGCAATCGGGAGTTGGTTTTCTTTACAAGTTTCTATTAAATATCCTCATACAAAAATTACTTTCAATACACTCTTTTTCTGAACTTCGCAGATTCTTTTTCATATTCAGGACAAATAAAAGGAAGATCGAAATTTTATACTATCATTTTGAAGTTATGTCTGACGGTGTTCGAATATGGGGCCACCCAGAGCAGAATATGTAAACAAATATGAAATGTAATAAAATAAAGTAAATAAATAAGTAAATAAAAAAGTAAAAAAAGCAAAAAAATATTTTGTTTTTCTTATTGATATTTTATGTCCAAAAGTAGTTAGTTACAAGTTAGTTGACATGTAATGTAGAGGTATCCAGGTCTGACTTTTTTGCGGCCATCGCCCCCCAAAAGTAGTTAGCTTTTTTCGAACAAAATACACAGTAAATAGTTAGCACTAGTGTTCGCGTAAACAGACTAAAGTTAGGTATAAGCTAACGTCACTCCCTGCAGGGATATTACACACATAGTGCATGTTTAGCCGTACAAATCGCGTGCTGTGGCCTTGATGGAAATTCAAAATATGAAAGCACAATTACATGTCTCTTTGTAGCTGAGTGCGCAAAGATGCTTGCCACAATTTGTTGATATCTAGAGAGTGTCAGGGTTGGAATTCCACTGCAAGCAACATGCAAATTAAATATATATATTTTTTTTTGGTTTTTATCTTGATTATTCACTGCAATGCGCGTAGTTGAATTGAATATTTACGAAAATTAAGATCAACAACGATTCTGATTGATTTTAATATTTTTTCCTCTCAGTGCAGAAACTAGGATGTTTGATATTTTCAAAAATATCAAAAATCGTCGTATCGATAATATCGTTTTTGAAATATCGATATATTGCAAAAATATTTCAAATTTCACATCAATTTTTAAGAATCATTTGTGTTGATCACACTTGCTTGGTTATCAGGTTATCTGGTTAAAAATTATTATTCTGCAGTGTATGTTGTAAACTGTATAAAAAATATAACAACATAACCAGATAACCTGATAACCAGGCAAGCGTGAACAACCCAATTGTTCAATAATAGTTAAATGAAAAGAATAATAACTTAAAGTATAGTTTACTTTACATTTTCCAAATGTGAAGGATGTGTCGGCAGACATAAATTCTTATATGTAAAAATTTTACCTGCAAGACTTCCAACAATTAAAAAATTTAACTATCATAATTTGAATCGCAAAAAAACTTAGGTAATGTTTTCAAGTATGAATGTATGAACGTATGTAAGGACACATATTGTAATATAAAAATATGTATTCATTAATTAATACACATATTAAGCGATTGCAGAGTTTTACTCACATAGATTAAAGTATGTTGAACTAAAAAATTGTTAATGTAAAAAATTAACCATATAAATATAACCAGGCGATATCTGTGCGTAAAATATCGATATCTGATATTATCTTCCAAAAAAATATTGCGCCGATAATATCGCATCGGAAGCAAAAAATATAGTCAGTATCGATGTAATACCAACCATTTATAAACAAACAAAAAAACAATTTAGAGCGCGCTATACCGCTTACCGTGCGAGGCACTTTAATAATGTTATAGCTTTGGAGCTACATACTTGATGTTTGAAGCTGAAACTTTCACAAAAACTGTCTTAGATATTCTTCTATAATGAGTCAAAATTTCTTAAGCGGGCCACTAAAAATCTACTATTCGATTTTTATGTATCTATTAACATATTTTGGAAGGTTTATAAGTTAAAAGTAATGCCCTAAAACGGTTTTTGAAAATTTCAATTTTTCAAAAACTTATCAGGGATTGAAAATTTAGAGAACTTTTTTTTTAAAGTTCAATATATCAGCAAATAATTATTGAATCTCAATAAAAATTGGATTGTATGTTGCGAAATAGTAGGAGAACAGAAACAAAATTAATTCACGTAAAAAAATATAATTTGTTTATAAATAATTAATGTTACAATAAACAAATGGTAATTTAACTAACTTCTCGGTGTTTTAGAAAAAAATTTTTTTTAGCAAAAATATTCGTTTAACTATAAACTAAATGACTGCACAAGAAAATTTTAGTGCTCTCTTACCAGAAAAAAGATCTGATCGATTTAACGCGTTATATAGCGGCCGAGGCGGACGCACTAGGCCGAGCGCTGCGCCTGACACCGAGCTTTTCGGACATACTTCTATGCTCTGTAGGCTAAATTTTACGTCAAATATTAAATGACATTATCAAATATTTATTAACAGTAAGAATTTATTTCTTTACAGATTTAATAACTTTCATTTTAGAACTTTTACAATAATTAGAAATAATTTTACACTCAAGAGAGTTATTATCACACGGCTTGAACGAATGAAAAGCACGGGTTCCGTTAATGGTTTTCGCTGTAGCAAACCGTTCCTTCAAATATTCTTCGTGCTGTTTATATTCATCTAAAGAACAGAAATTAAATTCAATTTTTTTAAAATAAGATTTTGCCCATTCAAAAAGTCCTTTCGTTGTAACTATTGTTTTGTCTTGCAAGCTGGCACGGTATGCGTTTCTTTTTACACAACCACCTATACCATCACAAGCACCTTTACCGTGCGCTGTCGCGAAGAAATGCCATTCTGCTGGTACATAAAAATCTGTTTCGTGAAATAATAAATTTAAAAAATTGAATCTGTTCTTGTATTGAGATCCAGCTCCATCAGAAAAATATATAATTTTTTTAATGTTTCGTTCACCAAACTTGTCTTTCAAAAATTGAATTAACTTCGAATTATATAAGTGCACTCCAGTTGCATCGTGATTTTCGTACTCCGAAAATACAACAAAATTGAGATTACGCACAGCATCATTGTTTTTGTAGTATATTACATATACATGCAATGATGCATGATCTTTACTCCAATGTTGAGATTGTATCGCATTCTGGACATGGAATGAATAATTTTCTGAGAAGTCAAGGGTGACTAAAAATTCACCTGGTTGAAGGGAATTTTTAACGTCAATCAAATACTTTCCTTGAGATTCAGCAATAAAATCGTGTTTTAAAACATCCGGTAAAGTTTCTTTCAATTTTTTTAAAAAATCATCAACTTTTTCAGTTTCACGAAGCAATTGGCATCTGTAATATATTTGTATTAAAAAAAATGATTAAAAATAAATTGGAAAATTTCGCAGAATCAATACCTGTCAGTAGTAAGCCATTGGTTAAAAGAAACACTCTCAATGCCGTGACTTTGTAAGGACTCTTTCAAATCGTTCAGNGAAAATTTCGCAGAATCAATACCTGTCAGTAGTAAGCCATTGGTTAAAAGAAACACTCTCAATGCCGTGACTTTGTAAGGACTCTTTTAAATCGTTCAGTATTTTTTCGGTAGCTGGACAATTTTTACAGTTACCAAGAAAACAATCCGCTGCGGGTTTGGAACAAACCATAGCTTCTAAATAATCTCTATAAGTATCTCGGTAATCGAATTTTTTACGTAAAAATTCTTCTTTCAATCCTCTCATTTTTAATCGAATATTGCCATGTATTTTGCACACGCAAACATTGTGTGTACCTTTAGCACCCACTGGGATACACTGCTTGGGCCTTAAAAGTCTAAAAGCTGACAAAGAAATCTTTAAATGAGGATTTTCTTTTACAAACTCAGAGTGTAAATCATCGAGATTTCCCAACAGCAAACGTTTCTAAAAAAAAAGAATCTTATTTACTTTAAATATTAAATAAGTATTCGAAATAATTAATAATAAATTAAAGATTGAAAAAAATTATAAAAAAAGCTTTTTGTACATAAATTATTATCATAACATAGCTATTTTTTTCAAAAATTAAATAATTTATAGATTTATCAAAATATTTGGTATTGCTTACTGTTACGTGTTGACGTTTACCATCAACTTTGATCGACTTAAAATCTTTTACACCTGGCATTACTCTGCTGACATTATCAGAAAGGTAAAAGTCTTTCACTTTTTCGGTCAGATCCGAGCTCATACCTCGACGCACTCTCTTATCAGGTTGACTGCAGTATCCTTTGTTTTCTTTTAAATTTTTAGCCGAAACAACTAAACGTCTGCTCACGCCGAATTCTCTAGCTAGTTTTCTAGTTGACCACTTCACTGGAAATGTTGTAAATAAAACAATTTTTTCTTTTCGCGTCGATGCATTTGACAATGCTTTTTTAAAATCATTTATCCAATCATCACAACCGTTATCGGTCATAATACTTGAATTGTTACTATTTAAAAATTTTTTTAGAATTTCACTGTCTGCATCAGATATATTTAATTTAATTTTTTTTGCAGGATTAACTATGATAGCTTCATGAACCGCAGCTGCTAATTTTAATCTTTTATTCATATCATCAACATATTTACACTCATAGTTTTTATATTCTTTCGAAACATGTGATAATTTAAACTCTTCTTCATCTTCATCACTCTGCAAGTTACAATTTTCTACACCTTGCTCTTGTTTATTTAAATCTTGAAATCGAGTCGAATCTTTCATTTTATACAGTCGTCTTTTACACGAAGCACAAACGAATGAACCATGTAAACCACTAATCTTTTTATCACGTTTTTCAGATAAAAAATGTAATTTTTTTCTTACGCAATAATGGTTTTTTTTGGAAAGGATTACAACACTTATGTGGTGGCACCATGATAAAAATAAAACTATTAATGCGAGCGAAATAACAAATGCAAGCAAAGCGTGCAATCGTCATTTGTTTTTGCGTTTACTTAAAGCAGACCTGGGCGGCGCCTGCCCGGCGGGCATATTCGCGTATACATACACGCTCTGCTTTAGAAGGCAGCGAAAGCTTCATTCAACCGCACGCCTTGTTCGCACGCACACAGTGCCATCAATTTCTCGCACACTACAAAAATTCTCTGTCGAAGCTGTCCACCTCTGTCTTAAAGCTAGGTAATCGCAGCGCTCGGCCTAGTGCGTCCGCCTCGGCCGCTATATAACACGTTAAATCGATCAGNATAATTTAAACTCTTCTTCATCTTCATCACTCTGCAAGTTACAATTTTCTACACCTTGCTCTTGTTTATTTAAATCTTGAAATCGAGTCGAATCTTTCATTTTATACAGTCGTCTTTTACACGAAGCACAAACGAATGAACCATGTAAACCACTAATCTTTTTATCACGTTTTTCAGATAAAAAATGTAATTTTTTTCTTACGCAATAATGGTTTTTTTTGGAAAGGATTACAACACTTATGTGGTGGCACCATGATAAAAATAAAACTATTAATGCGAGCGAAATAACAAATGCAAGCAAAGCGTGCAATCGTCATTTGTTTTTGCGTTTACTTAAAGCAGACCTGGGCGGCGCCTGCCCGGCGGGCATATTCGCGTATACATACACGCTCTGCTTTAGAAGGCAGCGAAAGCTTCATTCAACCGCACGCCTTGTTCGCACGCACACAGTGCCATCAATTTCTCGCACACTACAAAAAATTTCTGTCTTAAAGCTAGGTAATCGCAGCGCTCGGCCTAGTGCGTCCGCCTCGGCCGCTATATAACACGTTAAATCGATCAGATCTTCTTTCTGGTAAGAGAGCACTAAAATTTTCTTGTGCAGTCATTTAGTTTATAGTTAAACGAATATTTTTGCTAAAAAAATTTTTTTTTCTACAACACCGAGAAGTTAGTTAAATTACCATTTGTTTATTGTAACATTAATTATTTATAAACAAATTATATTTTTTTTACGTGAATTAATTTTTTTTCTGTTCTCCTACTATTTCGCAACATACAATCCAATTTTTATTGAGATTCAATAATTATTTGCTGATATATTGAACTTTAAAAAAAAAGTTCTCTAAATTTTCAATCCCTGATATTTTTGAAAGATTGAAATTTTCAAAAACCGTTTTAGGGCATTACTTTTAACTTATAAACCTTCCAAAATATGTTAATAGATACATAAAAATCGAATAGTAGATTTTTAGTGGCCCGCTTAAGAAATTTTGACTCAATACTGTATCAAAACAAAAAAAGTAGACTTTATAACACAGCTTTTGCATTTAAAGAAAACGTTCTTTAAATTCTCATAAAAAATTTGAGAACTTTAGGTTTTTTTGTAATCAGTATTAAGAAGTGCTGTTAAGCCTAAGTTCTTTGGAATAGTTTGTAGTTTATTTTGTGAAAATTTCAAATCGATCGATGCACAAACGTCTGAGATATAGCGAGTTTGAAAGAAAGATTTGTGAAAATTTTCTGTCACAGTATGATTTTCTAATTCGTGCAAGCGAATGGTGCGACGTGACGCGATGGAGCGTCGCTACTGGCCTAAAGCGCTTTAAATAACTCGTAAAAATAAAAAAAGCGCCTTAATTTTATTTATGTACAAATACCTGAGTAAGGCTTCCTCAAGTGTGCCTCGAATTTGCCAAGGTTAATATTTTTCAATGATATTCAGGCAGCGCCGAGTTTTGAAGTCAAAAAGTACACAGTGTAAATTTTGTTGCAAAATTCCAAATAGTTTTTTTCAATCAACAGTTGAAAATGCAGTGTTTTGGTAATTTTTATGTTTCTTTGAAAGTAAGTGTCCGAATGAAAACTTTTTTTTTGGGTGTAGATTTAAAAAACATTAAACTGTACAATGAAATTATTTGCGTTACAAAATAGTTTTTTGCATTTAAATAATTTTTTTAATGAAAAATTTAACATTTAAGCAATTTTTGCGCCTCGTAGACGACAATTTTCAACTACAACTTATGTAATAAACATCTCTGCATTTATCTATGAAAAAAATTTGTGCATTTCGATATAGTTTGGTCGGAATGAATTTTTATTTGCCAGCGTGGGCGCCCGCCTCCCGCGGGCATGCGAAATTCAAGCATGAGAAATAAAAGTGGAACGATTGAAACGTGCATTTCTTTCTTGGGCAAGAAGTCAAGGCGGATTGCTCGCGATCCAGCCAGGAGGGTCGGGCCCGCACGCTGGCAAATAAAAATTCATTCCGACCAAACTATATCGAAATGCACGCATTTTTTGATTGATAAATGCAGAAATGTTTATTACAAAAGTTGTTACAAATTTTTATCCACGAGGTGCAGAAATTGCTTAAATGTTCAATTTTTGTATAAAAAAAAATTATAAATTTATATAAAATTATTGAAAAGCAAAAAAAAATATTTTTGTAACGCAAATAATTTCATTGTATAGTTTAATCATATGCAAAAATTTGTATTAAGCTTAAGGCCGTTTTTATTGAAACACTTATTGTGGAAAAGTAACAATAATTTAAAAAAATGGTAGAAGTGATAGCTTTTTTCGGAAATTACCACATTTCCTCATTAGAACTCCTTTCCTCAAAAATACTGTGGTCAGCGTAGCTGGAGTTGGACCTACGAGGCCTATTTTTTGTTGAAAAAATTACATCGACGTCGACGTCGAAAACCATAATAAGGCCGAATATTATTTTCAAAAATCCAAAACAAATTTTTATTATTTCTATCAAGGTTTCAAAAACGAAAAATATTTGACAAATTTAAGGCTGGATTTGTCAAAATGTCAAAAAAAATGATCACGTCATTTCTGAACGCCCCCTGATAGAAATATTAATAAAAACCAAAAAACCCAACAACCAAAAGATCCAGTTTAAATAGCACTGTAACAGCTGCGCTTGATTGTAGTTGGCTTAACAAATGAAATAGTGGAAAAAAGCAAACGATAATTTACAAGGCGTACTTAGCACGGTGCATAGGCAAGATCTACCATTTTTTCAAATTATTGTTGCTTTTCCACAATAAATCTTCATTTAAACAAGTAAGAAAGTCTAAGTTCGGGCGGAGCCGAACATTAAATACCCGGCGCAAGTATTAAATATACGTTTTTCACCTTTCCGAAAGCTACCGCTACATGGTAAGCCGGGGTGTATCAATTTTGAGTAAATTAGCGTCCTTAAATTTCGAAATATTGAAGTTTCAAGCATTTCTGAAATTTACCGTTATATGAAAAGCGGCCGTAATTTTAGTCCGATTAGAACTTTTCGTGGAAATGGTATGGAGTTCTTGAAAATCATATTTTTCGACCGGAGACTCTGTTTCTTTTCAACAGATTCCCAATAATAATACCCAATTATTTTTTTAACATTTTTTCTTAGCAACTATATTTTATAGGTCCGCCAAATCCCCTAGAAAATGCCAGAAAATGCAATGACGGGGTTAAATAAAAAATCTTCCGTATTAAAAAATGGTTAAATAAATAATGGGATATTGTTATTGGAAGTCTACTGAAGAGAATCAGAGTTTTCCGATCGAAAAATATTGATTTTCAAGAATTTCATACCATTTCCACGAAAAGTTGTTTTTTTCCCATACAAAATACATGGGAAACTTTGAGCGCTTTGAGCGACCTCTAAATATTTTTTGATTTCGAAATAAAAAATAGGGGTATACTTTTTCGATATGGAACAATCCTAGGGGTGAGAGCATTAAAATGCCGACTTTACTTATTTTGGACCACCCTATTGTACATACATATGGCGCAATTCACGTGAAATGTCCCAAGCGCAATGAGCCGTGCAAAACAAGCTATTTTGGACTAGCTGGGAAGCAGACAGAAAATGGGAAAAATAATTTGAAAACCATGATTTATATAGATTTTTGTGCGGGCTATCCGATGATGCTATGCGTTTTTCAAAATTTTCCCATTTTCATGGCAAAATTCAAACGAAAATTTATTTGCAATTTTTCTCAATTATGGTGATTTATAATTTTTTTAGTCATCTTAATCGAAAGATCAGGTGGTTAAGGTTTCCTCAAGTGGGCCTCGAATTTACCAAGATTAATATTTTTGAATGATATTCAGGCAGCGCCGAGTTTTGTAGTCGAAAAGTATAATGTGTAGATTTTGTTGCAAAATTCCAACAAGTTTATTTTTATCAACAATTGAACGTTTTTGCACTGTTTTGGAAATTTCTATTTCTTTTCAAAGTGTCCGAATGAAAAATTTTTTTGGGTGCAGATTTAGAAAACATTAAACTATACAATTGTTTTTGTTATTTTTTTGGCCTTATAACAATTATATTCAAAAATGTTTATTGAG